ATTACCTTACGTATGTTTTCAATATTATCTATAAAAATTTACGATCAAATTTTACTAAAAAATTAATTAATGATAGTTAACCCATATATCATATATTAGAATGAATTTGCTGATAAGATTAAAAGATTAAAAGGTAACTGACAAGATTACATTTTTTGGAAAATTGAAATGAAGGAAAAGATAAGTTCCAAATACTGCAAAGATAATCCAATTAAGATCCAAGCACATATGACAGTGTCAACAAATTTCGCTTTAAGTATTTAGAGGATTACGCTATGTAAATATACTATATTTTCCAAAAGGCGAGGAATGTATATATTATTATAATATTAGGTAAATATTCATTATCTCGGTGATTGCGTTTCTATTATTAATAATAACATTAATCAATGGTTGGTATAAATTTAATATAACTCAATACAAGAATTGAAATTTCAAATTTTTGTAAATGCTAAATTTTGATATATTAGTATTAGAATAAAATTTTCGAATGAAAATTTGCATATAAGAAAATTGAAGAGGGAAATTTTTCACATTGCAGAGATAACAGTGCTCTTATCGATATGTTTCTTTCTCAGCGTTGTATCAGAAATGTCACCTCCAACCTCAGAAGCAGTGCCACTTTTAGGTCACATATTTCAATATTCCCTCATCTTTTTCTACTCAACAATTAAATTAAATAATATAAACTATGAAATATTTAAGCCAGAGTTTTCTTACAGTTACTTAATAAACTGATTAATCAAATAAATGAAATATCAGTTAGTAATTGTTAACTATAATTGAATAATGAATTAATTTAGGGTTAATTGTTGTTATTATTCAATTAATTTTTGTTATTATTCAACAAAAAGCATTATATTATTTCATTCTTTTCAAAAGCAATCAATCGATAAAATAATTTCCATTTGCATATAATTGCCAGAAATGTTTAATGAAATTATGCTAATAAGAAATGAATTTGAAATTATAATTCGTATTTGAAATAAATTTTTGTAATTTCATTTATTTCAAAGCATTTTGATATTATATGCATATTTTTTTGTCTAAAATAAATTAAATATTTATTAAAATTAGCAGTAAATTTCGAATTTATTTCTCTATTTATTATTATTTCTCTCTTATAATATTTTGTGAGTATTATTTAGGTATATTCTTTTCTTGTTGTATGATCGTTGTTACGGCATCAACCGTTTTTACCGTATACGTCCTGAATTTACATTATCGAACATCCGAAACGCATGAAATGAGTACTTTGGTTAGTATTTCCTATCAATTTTGATACTAATTAAGTTAATTTTTGGCGTAAGAAAACGTGAAGTAAATGTAAGAATTGAATGAAAAAGAAATTTAATTAAATAATTAATCGTATCTTTTGAAAAAATAATTACTTAAATAATACAAAAAAAAGCAAGGAAATTCTTTTTTTGTTTTAATTTTTATAAAAAAATATCAGACAAAGACATTACTACTTTATTGGCTACCATATCTACTTCGAATAAATCGGCCAGGAGTTAATTTATCGTGGAAATCATTACCATCATTATTTCCATGTACAAAACCAACAACGCAAAGCGAATCACTTATAAGGAATATTAAAGAAGCTGAATCAAGTTCAAGGTAATATATCGATTAAAAATTAGGATACAAAATTTAAAATAAAGATAGCATATGTGGAAAATTTATAGAACAAAGTATTTTATGGTACAAAATTTGTTATTGTCTATTATTACTAATTAAAACTTTTTTAAAATATTCCTTCGTTATTTAATTACAATTATTTAATTTATTATTTAATTTGCTTCCAAAAATAACTTGAATATACTCAAATATTTGTTTCGTTTTTCATTTATTTGTCATTAATTAACGGCAAAATATTTTAAAAAAGAAAAAACAAAATAAAATTGAAAAATTTTTAAAATTAATAAAATATTAATTAATTAATAATTTTGCTTAAAAATTGCATGAAAAATTTTGAATAGTAAAAATTATAATAAATTTATTACAAATAAATTTGATAAAATAATATTTTTTTTGAAATATTTCAGATCTAATTCGTTAGATGTTGACTGTAGAAGTTGCCGATACATGATAAGTGGTATCTCTAATGGTAAAAGTCCCATTTCAACAGTTATTAATGGACATACATTAAGTGAAATAAATCCATCCATTGATATTGGCGAACAAGCTACTCTACTTATTTTGCAACGAATCTATCAGGAACTTAAGGTAAATTTTAAACAAATTGCAAAACTAAGGAATATATTAGTGACAGATAATAATATAAAATATTGCACAATGGTGACAGATAATAATATAAAAATTAGAGAGATTGAGACAGCACTGTTATGTTCAATTTACTTATTCTTTTAAAATTAAAATTAATTTTAAAAAGAATTCATAAAATTAATAAATTTGAGATTAAAATTTTAATTAATAAAAAAAAATTATGCTGCAAGAAGTAAAACTAACAATGTTTTGCTATATGTTTGAAAATAATTGTAGAAAAAGCAAAAAAGAAGAAAGAAAAGGTGTCACTTTTTCAGGCGATAACTAAACGTATGATAGATGCGGAAAAAGACGATGTAAAAGCAAACAATTGGAAATTTGCAGCAATTGTTGTTGATCGCTTATGCTTATATATTTTTACAATATTTATTATTGCTTCATCATGCGGAATTTTGCTTTCAGCGCCATATTTTATCGCTTAAATATCAATTTTTTATCATTCATTTGTATAAAATGAAAAGTGCAAAATTTTCATATTTAAATATTGTAAAATTTTTGTCGAAAATTCACTTAATAAATTATTTGATATGGTTCAATTTTATCATCGTAGCATTTTTGCACAATAAAAATGAATAATTTATTCGATGATAATAATAATTTATTGCAAATATGTAATGACATCAGTAACTTATTGCGAAATCGTACTTATATCCAATAACTGATTGCGGAAATCGTAATTATATGACAAAATTTTGTCATCTGCAGTAAAGTAAAAGATATCAAAGGAATTATTGGCTCAACTAAAAATTCATCGGAATCGTTGTTTTATTGAATTCTGTCATAATTTTATGCTTACTTCTACTTTTTTGAATAGCATAACAAGAAAAGAAGCCTACTGATAAATTCATATCATGAAAGTATTCTTACAAATGATAATTCCATACATATATAAGTGGTAATAAAAGCATATAGTGATACTTTAATAATTCAATAAATTAAATTAATTAAAATAACATTACCGTAATATACATCTAATTTTTCTAGAGTGATAAAATTTGAAAGTAATACTAAAGTGAAAATTAAAAATTTGAAAAATATTATTACTTTGATATTTAATGTATACGAAATCATTTAGCCTAAAAACTATGAGCTATTTTACAAAAATCGAAATTTCTTCATATTAATGAATTGATTAATTGTTCTATTTGTTGTTATTGAAAAATTATTTTATCTTCTTTTTTATAATATAAAATAAAATAATTGCATTCATTAAAAGTATCAAAATAACAAGCTGATAAACTGAGATAAACTCTTAATAATGCATAAGAATGAAAATGAATTAAAAAATTCAACGTAAACTTTTATCACTCTTAAATTAAATTAGGTAAAAGTAATTCGTAAATTTTCAAACTAAGTAAAAATAATCTGTTAATTTATAAAATGTAAGTAATTTACAATAAATGGAACAAAAAAAGGATTTAAGATGATGATAACATATCAGGTGATGATAACATATCAGATGATGATAACATATCAGATTAAGTCATTTCATCATGCAAATTTAAGGTGTAATAGCTTATCTAACAATAAAAAAAAGATTAATGCTTATGAAATTTAAAATATAATTCAAAAATGGTTATTTACAAAGTTTTATTTATTTGCGCACAATTTTAAAATTGTTTACTATACTTTTATTTACCATAGCATTTTTAAATTGTCCATTTTCCAGTCTCACTTTTAATTTATGAGAGAGAGAGAGGAAACAATCGTAAAATTTAAAAATATCTTTTATAAATAATTATCATTGAATAGAAGGATACAATTACAGTTTTAAAATAATTCATGCTTAAAATATCGTCGATTAGTACTGTTGTTGGATGGATTATAACTATAATATTACAAATATCCTGTTGAATTTGTATCTAATTGTCAGACAATAAAAGAACTGAAATTGTTTCACATATGATTTATTCAATAATCCGGTATTATATATGTGTATATATACATACATATATATATATAGCATATATAACATTCAAATGATGTTTACATTGTTGGCAATATTAAATTTAACTTAAAATATTTTCACTTCTTATTTTTTAAATTATTGTCTGAAAAAAGTGCAGCATTTTCGCTTCTTAAAATTATTTTTGAAAATTTCAAATATATGATTATAAAATTTTATAAATATTATTTGTATTTCTTTTTGTTGCATAATATTATTTCTAGAGATTTTCCGTAAACATAAATATAAATTCAAATAAAATTACATTCCATTTAATATTACTTTTTTCTAGCATCATTTCAGATTATTTGTTGCAATTTAAAATTTAAAAAATAATCACAACATCTAAAACTGATCAATAATTTGACAATATTATCACTATTTATATAACTGATCTAAAATTAATTGATATTTCAGTTTCTATAAAATTACAAAAATTTTCCTTCCCCACTTCCTTTTTCTGTTTATCCGGTTGATCTTATTGATTTATTGTCATCGTATCAACCAATCATTGAACTAAGTTTTTCCGTTTTTTTCCGTAATATTTTCGAGCAATTAATTAATTGAATTAATTTCATGCCATTTATGAAAACAAACAATTTTTAGTATTAATTTATAAAATGTTTAAGATATTTTTGATTGATAATTTATGAAATTGTATGTGAAGTAATAAGAATAATTTGAATAAAATTTCGACTAAAAAAAATTTATGGCCAAGCAAAAAACAAAAGGAAAAAATTAAAATTTTAGTCGGAATTGAAAAACGATGGATTCTATTCAAGCCTGCCTTTTGTTGATGTTTGGTTGTTTGCTTGTTGCAGAAATAAATGGAACATATATTGAGGTAAATTTTATTTTAAAAAATTACATCCTAAAAAAATATTGGAAGAATTAGGAGGTCCTAAAATTACAATTAATATCATAGAATATTAACAAATTTTAAAACAATATTAATTTAACAAAGTATCGTAACCGCAATAGTTATGTCCCTCATCTGGTTAATAGCGATGATAACTTGCAGTGATATATAGAAAGTACTAACACATTAGTTTCATAAACTTTGAGTTATTTAAAAACGATTGTATAATTTTTATAATTGGGAAAGAAGAATCATTGTCATAATTGGGAAAGAAAAAAGTGATAGCAGCAATTTTAGTGTTGATAATATCATATTGATAATATTTATTAACTTCATTATAATTTTACTAATCAATTAAAAGTTTTGCTCGATGTCTTAATATTATCGTTTTATGATGATAAAATATATTAGGATTTATTGCTGTATCCGAAAAAAGCAAACATCAAAATCTCATCTTATAAATAGCATAATTTCTAAATTTTCTAACAAATTTCTAACAAATAATATAATTCAAAACTAATTATAATTAATTCGTCGTTCCGAAATAGCAATTGAATTGAAGTATAAGTTGAACTGACTGCTTTAGAAAGAAAATACTCATTTATATATGCATTTACAATATCCATAACTTAGATTTTTTTAAATTTACGACAAAATTTTGATAAGTTTTACTAATCGCTATGAGCCAAAATAAAAACCTTTCATGAAAGAGATCTAAAATCTGAATTGATAAAATATTCGACGGAAGTTGCAAGTTGATGTATTTCAATGGAAAGATTAACAATGTTTCTCCGAGGCTTTATAAAACAAAAAATTTACTGTGTCAGACTTTTATCATATAAGAAAATAAATTCTAAACAATTATTTCAGCAATCAATTGTATCAAATTTTTGTTCCTCAAGAAAATAAGAATGAATTTCGTTTTTAAAAATGCAATCAATTATTTGTAATTGTTTTTCAGAACACAACACCTGGCGATACAACAATACTTACGCAGCTTGTTGATGATATCAAATTGTATCTGAAAAAATTCTATGAATTAAATGAACATTTCCCGGAAGAATTTGTCAATGGCAAAGATAAAATTGATGAAATTGAAGAAGATGCTCGAAAGATAATAGAAGCAATCAATCGTGTGCGAAATACTTGGAATGATAATGATTATGAAAAAAATTTAGCAATAATTTGTGGTATGACAGATGAAGAACATAATGTTAAATGATTTCATTACAAAACTTTCCCACGAATTTCTTTTTTTCTATTTTAAATAATTATTTCCGTAATATAATATGCTATAATTTATTAAGAAATAAATAAAAGACTTTCAATTATCATACCGCAACACTCATATCATTCATTTATTATGCCATGGAAATTCGACCACGAGGAAAACTAACTTTTTATCTCTTTATTCCTTAAAGTCTAAAAAAATAAAGTAAAAAGTAGTACTGATCCAATAAAACTAAGCCTCAAATATTGCCATTATACTTCGATTATCTAAAATAATTCACGTCTATCCGGAATGAACTATTACAATTCATAATTCTGGTGCATTACTAATTACTATTGTAAGCATAGTACATGTTTATGTCGCAAAAATACTTCACAACAATTTCTTGCTTACTTTTATTAAGTAAATTTTTTATCGCCTCCCGCTATCTGTGCATTTCTAAAGTTTTTATCATTTAACTTGCAATTTGAAGATGTTTGCTGCAAAATATCATATATCGCTGGTTAATTATAATAATGCTCTGTGATTGTAATCTGGCGCTTTTCCGTTTTACTCGATGCTTTGGTTGAGGTGTGAATCAGTTTTTCTAAGTATGAAAAACGGCTGCACTGATTGTTTTTTTAGCTCAAATAAATCCGTTTTATTCTTGCAATGAATCCATTGTTCGATATTTGTTTCGACAGTTACAACAACACTTTACAACACACACCTGACAATATTCTTCACTAAACAAAGCACAATGTAATACAAAAAAATTAAACAAATATATATTTGGATGGTAAAACATTCGAAAAAGGCTCGTTTTTGAATGTGAGATGGAAAATATATTTATCTTCACTCTTACTTATATTTTATAGTAAGAAAACGGTCGCTGATTTCGGGAAAAATTTTTCAGCCCCTTTTAATCGAAGAAAAAATACGGAAAGAATACAGGAAAAACGATTAGACTTAAAATTCTCTAAAAATGCATGAAAGTGGTAGGAGTGAAATAAGGTGAAGATATAATAGTTGTATCGCACAGTACACGTTTTCTCATTAAACTTTGAGCAATGCGAATATTAAATATTTAAAACCAACAGCTATTCTCTGATCTGAAGTCAACGTTATACATTTACCGAAAATTTAAGAATGATTTTTCAACAGTGAGGCCTACAGTCTTTAAAAAATTTTCATGGTACAAAGAAACTGCTTGCTGAACTTTTAATCATTTGTTAAGGTCATTTAAATCAATAAAGAATCAAAAACGAATCATCGATTTCTATTCCTGATCATTTATTCACTCCACCTTTTAATATCTTCTGATTACAGGAAAAGCGTAAATCTGACTATATCAGCACGCTTTTTTATTACTGCCAGTCAAAGTGCACGCCTTCTCGAGAATTACTATATTAAAGGAAAGTTTATTTAAACAAGCAAACAAGCAAAACATACTTATAACCACCATAACACGATGAAGCAAGCCCAAAGAAAAAAGTGGACGAAAGGGACATGCATAGCTTACACACGTACATGACGTATTGATAGCAAGCTGACGTTAACTGTCAGTACTATAAGTGGATTTCTCAATAGTGTAAAGTGTAAAAGAACTCAATAACTTTAAGATTACAACGACTACTCCATGTTTAAAGTAAGATGTTGTAATGCACTATGAACTAAGATGATTCATATGGTTGCAGAAACCTCCGATGTTATTTATTCCTGAAGGAGGCACTTTATGCTCACAATCAATTATTAATATTAGTCAGAAAATAGATAAAATAACAGTTAGTTTGAGAATTTATATTAAAATTGCTTCTCTATAGTGTATAAAAAAGATTAATATTGATTGTATTCATACCATATAAGAAGATAAGCATTCCACAATGATGGAATTTAAATTTACAGAATATAAACATTCATTCTCCACAAACATGTATCGTACCGGTTCCATCGATCCACGCTGTTCCTGCATGTATTTTCTTATCGTTACCTAAGTGACATCTGAAAAATTAAAAACTGATAAGATGTAGTCTCACATTTCAAAAATAATTAAATTGTAATCAATATTACTAGATGAATTTTCAAGAATTAGAGATCAAATTGAAGTAATTTCTCATTTCCTTTCGACTCAAATTTTGAGATCTAATCTTCAGAACACATTTCGAAAATTCAAAAACTTGAAAATTCTATCTTACCTACAATTATCTCGAAACATCAGAATGTGGGCATTGTATTAGTAAACATTGATTGATTAACCTGTAAATGTGTATTCCAATGTCACCACAGCGCATATCATAATTACCTTCGCTCCAAATTGCGTATTTTTTGATATGCAAAGATTCATCCATAATATCATCATACTCTGTTCCATTAAAGCAACCTAAATCGCAATAATAGACAAAAAATCACTGAAAACATGAGTAATAAAGAAATTGACCCAATGCATAATAATTATGCCATATTATGAGTCATCGAGGAATAACTGATCTCGCAATAAGCATTATCAGCAAAAAATATTAGATAGGAAGATCAAAATAAAACCTTTATTTTCAATTCTGGCTCTTTTGCCACTATTATAAATGTGACAGTTCTTGAGCTGTTTGTGTTCCAGCAGAAAAAGTCCTTCTTTCAAGGTATCACCATTTTTATCTAAGCATGCTATGAATCTGCAACTTTGTTGAATATTACAGAAATGATAAATGACATAAATTTAGAGTCAAAAAAGCTTGGTTGAGACGCAATTAAGCTTCAACCATAATGATTGTAACTGTGAAAAGGTCTTTTATTGATAACTGATTTATTTCTTCAGTTTTACGATCACAAACTAGTGGTTGTCTTTCAAACAATCGTTAAGCTTACTTATTTGTGATACATGAAATAACAAAATGATTGTGATAGTATTCTTCTTGGCCATTACATTTATGAATGTCCTCTTCTCCCGATCCTTCCTCACTTTTGATCTCGTCATCCATACAAGAATATTCGATATCGTTTTCCCAAAATGATGGCGTCATAAGAGGTATCAAAGTTCCGCGATCGCTTACACAGTTCAATACCTTATAAACTTAAAGTTATATCAAATCACTTACAGAATTCCAATCACATTCCCAAAATTCACGAAAACATGTTTCAAAGAAAGAAGAATGAAAGCGAATTATGAACGTGATCTCCACATAAACCTGAACTGAGAATAAGTCTGAGAAATTATTTCTACGGTCACCAAGTTTGGTCGCATAATGTTTCTTTCAGAATTTACCCAATAACAAATGAATCTATAAATTTCCCGAAAGAACTTTCTCTAATTGCTTCCTGTATTGTTTTTGTCTGAAGTGATTTTTTCTGAGTGCCGACAAAGCTCTTTTAAATTATCGAAATTTTTTTAAAAATTCTGATAATAGTGATAACCATCGGAACAACATCGATCATCTCTAATGATGTTTTACAATTATTATCTTAATTATCATCTTTTTCTAAGATGAAAACAAAGAAGCTAACCTCAATTTTACCTTTCCTGCATGTCACATTGAAATGATCATCTTGAATCCAAACGAAATTTTCAGGATAATGTGATCCTTGATCGATACACTCTGAGTTGATTGGTAAGAAATAGTTTAATAGATCAATCAAAAGTATCGAGTGGTTGCAAAAAATGAGGCAATAAGATCTGTTAAACATATTGAAATTCCAGGATTATTCTTCTTATGAGGTTTAATTTAAATATTTGTCCGCCTATCTACCAGTCCAGTTGGCTATTAATTGTCCATCATTTTGACATTCTGTCTGTCTTAATTTTTCTTGAACTTTTCCCAAACATAAGGCAATGTGAAATGAGATTACAACTCTTTTCCTCTCATTCTTGAAATATCTCCCACACACAAACATTCAGATTTTTACAGCAACTTTCAATATCGCCATTTGTTACCCACTATTACTGCTATATTTCTATTACAATACACAACATTTCTCACTTTTTAACATTAAAAAAAAATTTATTACTTCTTAATTAGTAATTAATTCCTTTCTTTATGACTAAGTGTTGGATGACTATTCCTTCCTTCCTTATATAGCAAAATATACAGAGAAATGAATAGCTATAAAATTTAAACTAAGTTTTAGACTTAAATCTGCAAAAAAAAAGACAATTTTACAAAGTGCACATTTTTACTAATGAAAGTCTGAATCTTTTTTCTGCAGTGAAACACTATGGTTATGTTTATTCGATAGAGGGTAAAATGAAAGTTTGAAATAATTGCGAAAAACTTTGCAAATGCAAATACATAGTGTATGAGTGTGTGTTGCTGATTTCATCGATAATACCATGGTTGATATTGTTGTAAATTTTTGATTTCTTGTTTTGAGAGAGCTTTGGTGTGGCATAGTCGATAAGTAACAAAGGTTAATGGAGAGATTTATTCTTCTTCACGTTATAATACAATTGTCAGAAGATACAGTCAATTAAGTGGATCATTGAGTGGTCATTCTTCTTATCGTTCCGTTGACCCGGGAAAATAATTTGCGATTCTCATTGAGGTAATAACTCTGAAGTGTGTAGATGACAAGACCGTTTTGCTTCAGGGAAGTAAGTTACATTGGAATACTTTTTTTTCCAATACTCTTCGGTGGTGCTTAGTGAGCATCGTTTATAGTAATTAGATAATTTGTCATTTGTAAATGTAACTAGCGATACATAAGAAAATTATGGGGTACATAAGAATGTAGTGGTACATAAGAAGATCATCATTTAATGGTAAACATGAAACTTTCTTTATTTTATGAGATTTAGTTTTTTGTTTTTAATGTTTTCTTGGAAATGGATTTTATGAAATTTTTTGTTAGTATTTTTATTATTTGAAATTTAGAATAATGAATTGAGATATTAAACAAAGCATATCAAATCATTTGATTGAAAATTTTGAAACAAAAGATTTCTATAATATAGATTTCACGAATACAACGATATTTTTGCAATTTATGTTGTAGAATATATAAATATTTTTATAGCAAACCATAGAGGAAATACAAGAAATTACTATGTAATTAATCGCATTGAATAATTATGTTAAAACTTCTTCGAGCACAACAACCGTTGCGAATGATACCAAAATATTGTTACCAATGTTTTCGAAGGAATTCAATGAGCTGTTTTCAAATTACTATGCATAATAATTTCTAATAAAATCCGGAATGATTCATGTTAGCATTGTAGTTATTCAATCAATTCGTTTACAATTTCATATGTGGTTGCTTGCATGGATATGTAAAATCCAGTATTATAACATGCTGTTTCATTTTTATTTCGTAGAAATACATATTTATTGGATCAATTATCACTGATGAAATGCAGGTATGCAGATGCATGCAACAAAAGAGTTGCAAAAACTATTAAAGAATTTATTCATTTTTATTTTAAAAGACTATTTGTAATTAACTTCGATAACTATGGCATGCCAGTTCTGAGGGAAGAAAGAAAGATTAACATTCATTTTCTATTAAAAAAAATGAGAGAACGAAATATTTTCCTACTTGAAATAAACAATCAAATCCCAATGAAATTACTGATTTAATTAGAATTAAATGAATTCAATCAGATATTATTTCCTCCAGTCTTTGAGTAATCACCTGAACAGCCTTCTGAATACACGTATTGCTTCCGTGGTTTCCACTCAGACTTTCCATTACTGAAATGAACTAAACAATTTACACCGCTCGATTAAACAAACCGAAACATTAAACTTGCTTTTTATTACAAAAATTTTGGGAAAACTGCATGTTGTCTATAAATGCATATCATATTGTCTAAATTTTGAATAAATTAAAATGGAAATTTCCCTATTTTGAGATCTATAGAAAAAAATAGAAAATATTTGCATGCATACTGTAAATATAAATTTAAATTTGTTCATTGGAAATTCAAATTAATCAACTGTGTATAAAAAATGATTTATTGAACTGGAATTTCATTGTTCTACCAGGAAGATGCCAAATCCGCCAGCTAAAGAGGATACCTGGGCTTTTGGGCCGATTGGTTCTCCTTTCCCGGATAATCCAGTCCGAGCCACTGGACAGCAAAATATGTATGTGGCCTTATGGTACAAACACGGCAAACCAATTCATGGACGAGCGTGGAACAATGGCGGTGTCATCGAATGCTCGTTCCCGTATATCAAGGCAGAACTGACTGGTGCCAAAGATCTTGGCGGACAAATTCAGGCCTTTTTCATTATCGATTATACTGAAAATTCGACTTTTCTACTTAAAGTTCCTTTTTTAGAAATTAGTCCATGATAGAAGCTTTCAGGTATTGCAGTACAAAGGCGATCATTTAACGTTAGGTTTTTGGTATAATTGGATTAAATATAAGGATCGCTTCGAGAAATTTGAAAAAGGAGCTGAATTGCTGCGCTGCGGTGATTCGTTCCCCATCTTTTGGCAAGATCGAAAGGAAGGACCGCTACTCGGCTACGTTGATAATAAAACTGAAATCGGTGAGAAAATCATAATGAATGAATTTGAAGCCGTCATTTCTCACAACTCGATCCGTCAATCGATATTGCCATTTTTCATTGTAAAGAACTCGAACAAATTTTGCTTCAATCGCATTTTTAAATGAAATAATTACCACAATTACTGCAGCGAGATTTTCACATGACGGAAAAGTGGAAGAGATTTCTGGTGGTGCACTGAATGATATGCTTATTATTGTTCGGGAACTAAAGGGTGGACCACCAAATTGTGTTTGTCACGAATGTAGTGCTGGACCACCCAAACCGGTTATTCGTGTTACGCTTGATGAATGGGCCGATTTTCGTTGTGGTGATCCATGGCCAACAAATGGCAAACCAATCCAGGCTCTCAATCGGTATCATTCATTTTCCTTATTTTTCACCATATGTGGATTCTCGAGCTGCTGGTAAAAAGCAAATTTCAGCGCTCTTAATACTTTGTCTGGTGAGAATCCGAACCAGTACGTAGCCTTATGGTATCAGTCTGGTGAACCAGTTATGGGTCGTATTTGGAATGATGGTGGCAAAATTGCCGCTTGTTTTGGTTGGGGTGGTCATGAATATCGCAAAAATATCGGTTCGATCCAAGTTTTATTCGAACTTCCGGAACAAGTACGTGGTTTCGATTACTCCTGGAAACCGTTTAAGGAAGCAGCTCAATTCGGTGTCAAAGAATGGATTCCAGTACACGTGGATCATCATAAGGGAAACATTTCTCCCGCTGTTTTAATCATCGATGGTAAAGAGATTCTTGGTAAAGTAAGTGCTAACTTTCAATATAAAATATACACCGGTTATATTCACTTGAACTGTAACCAATTGTGTTTCCTACTTCTGACAGTGCTCTCTTTTAATTATTTTTAGGCTGATATTCGTAACGAACGTGCTACGGTAGGCCATGGTGGGAATGAAAAAGTTTACGTTGGTCCTGCAGTACATACATCCGTTGTTTTATGCCGAAAAGCAAAGCCCGGCTGTACTATAGAATGAAATACGATCAATTTATACGGAACAATTTTTTCCACTAACATATACTACCATTGTCCTACTTGTATTGCATCAATAAAATTTCATTTTTAATCGATGTAATTTACTTGCGTCTAACGAAACAAGCAATATGCGCAAATTTGGGAAGCTACAATTTCTAAAGTTTATTTCGACCAATATTTTGAGCCATTTGGTCAGTCTGTCGATATTTTATAGCGCTTGCTGAAAGAAGCGTTTTTCGTTGTAAGCTTAAAATCCTAAAATAAGTTAGAGATGAAAAAAGAAAGATAAATTAAAATGAACTGTAATGGATATCCATGTTAAAAAACTACGACTATTGAATGCATAAGAGGCTGAGAAAATATAAATGAAAGACTCAAGCAATTTCATATTGCAACATATCGGCGTATAATGCAAAATTCTAATAAGTTGAAAAAGGCAGAGAAATCTATATGAAATGGTGAGAGCTAATTAGGGATAAGTGATTTTATGCAATGTTCCTTTGGTTTTCACGTTTTTTTTGTCTTTCGATTTTTGTAATTTAGAGAAAGTGAAAGTTCAGATATGAATACAAAATAAAAGGAAATCATCATATCATCAGAATAAATAACAATGCTAAGTGAAAGGATAATTAATTATACTAAAAAATATTAATATATAAAAAGCGTAAGTTATTGCTCTGAATTTCACGCAAATTTTCAAGAAATTGAAAGCAGCAGTGAAATTTAAACTATCAATTATTCTACAGAAATGTGTAACAAATGAATTGATGATAAAATTTTAAAACGAAATTCCTTACAAGTCAACAACTGCATTATACCTATTCCAAATCATTAACTGTAATTCCTCAACACATCCATCCATAGAATCAAATTTTTTCATGTGGGACTTCTGTTTTAATAAGATTCTTAATTGCTTTGTGATGTATTGATACAACTGGTTTGCTTGAAATGATGATCAAATGAAGGGGAGTGTACCGCAGGAATTCAAAAAGATGTGTATAAGTTAGGTGGTTGGGATTTCAAAAAGTAGTATGATTAGTTGGGGGAGTGCAGGGCTTATTCAGAACGGGAAGTGATTACAATTTATTAAAGATATTTCGGCTAAAGAGAAGCTGGAGTTAAGCGGGAATTAGAAAATAAAATGCAGTAGAGAATTAGGTTAAAAATAGCATATAATGGAGATTGAAAAGGTGAGTTGCTGTTGTGTTAGTGATTAGGAGTGAAGTTATGTTAATTACATCGGAGAAAGATTGTCTTTAAGTTGTTGCTAGGAAAAGCATTTATGAAATATATATTGTGTGTATTGTCATCCCATTGAAATATAAAACTTCAAAAGTGGTCCGTATTGATAAGATTGTGCCATAATATTAATTAAATATTTGCTTTAATTTTGTTTTTCAAGAGTCTTCCTAATGTGCATTTAGCACTTGATTACCAGTTACGAACTATGATTTGTTTATATTCACATGATACATTTTTGTACGTCTTTCTTCCGAAATTTTGACTCCAATCTGGCTATGATTCCAGCATAAGGCCCAAAACATGTCATACTGCTCTCTGTCTCTCTTCACTTCTAGTAGTTCACTTGTTACTTTGAGTGGAAATCTAAAAGAAAACCAAGCAAACTTCGGTTTTTTCGCAGGTTTATAGCATGTTACTTGTTCATATAGTCCAAAAATTATTTCATGCGAATGATAATGAAGCATGATAAATAATTTCAACGTTGTTATGCTATCCTTTGAGATATTGTTTTTGTTTTTATAATTTCAAGAATTACAGATGACTTTATTGGACAACGATCATTTCCTGGTAGAATTAGCAAAATTATTTCAGAAATGTCGTACTTCTAATCAGCATACAATAACTATCACGCTGAAACATTGTAAGTAATTTTACCTGTTTGCCCGAAAAATTTTTCTTGCTTGTTTGTTTTTGATTTTTTGTAGGGTCAAACTTAGTAATTTAACAGCAAATCAGAAATTCGAGATCTAAATATTTTTGAGAAGTTTTCAGTGATATTGAATTTAATTGGTTATCTTATTTATACTTGTTATAGTATTTTCTGTAATTATTGATAACTGAAGATGCTGGATATAAAATTCTGAGAGAAATGTTGTTTTACTGCTGTTAGATTATTCTACTACATTGATCAAATGGTGTTTCCATATCCAGCTCAATTTAAAAATTGCATTTATGAAATTGCTTGAAACTTACAGTATTTTTTTCAAATTCTGCTGATAGTATGAAATAAATTCTTGAGAACAAAAAGAGTTGAAAAATAGCATAAACCGCGTAACTAAATGCTATCTGTTATACAATTGGTATAAGTTATTTCGGTGGTATGTTATTTGTAATTTAATTAATTAATTAATTTATTCTTTGTCAGCCCATTTTATTCACTTATTTTTTATAAATATTTTCAGATGATGGAAGAACGAAGCCTTATCCAAGAAATGAAGCGCAGCAATCGCTGAAAGGCGAAGATCTTTGTCTGTTTCGAGTAAAACTTGGTGACAAGAAAATTAGTACTGTGGTGAGGATAAAGAAATGATATAAATCAATAATTTGCTTGTTTAAATAAGATAAGCACAAATATGTGGAGGCTATATATATGTAGCTTCCACATATTTGTGAAGTTTATCTCACCTAACATCTTTGATTATCAGTAATTACAGAGGATACTTAATATGTATAAATGAAAAGACAACCAACTAAGTCTAATATCTTTTTATATCAAAATTTTTTCAGAAAAAGTTTGTTGACATTGCTGCATTATATTTAGATTTCGAATTTCTGATTTGTTCTTAAAATTACTTAGTTTGATCCTGCGAAGAATGAAAACAAACAAGCAAGAAAAATAGTCTTAACAGTTTGCTTTTGGTCATGTGTTTAGTTATTGTATTTAGCCATCTATTGCCTTTCAGGTTCATGCTAAAGAAGTAAATAAATTCCAATTGGCATATGCTGGTATCTTAAAAGCAAATATGGATAATTTGAAGAAACGTGAACGGAAAACAGTAGTGGAAACGAAAATTAAATCAATAAATGGTTCAAAAAATGCAGTGAAGATTTAATTATCTCGTATAAATTTTTGTATTATAATTTTGATATAACTTTGTTTCTGCACCAATTGTTTAAATTATATTTATTTCGCATATAATAAAGTTATATCTCCTCATACATTTACAAAATTTGTAAATTTTGTAGAAATTTGATGTTAGGTATTATTTTTTGCATATTCTTGTGTCTCTGATTTTTCAATGGTCTGAATAATATTAGAGAACAACTATTTCGCTAAGCAAATGTCACTGCATCGATAGTTTCATGGCAAATAAGAATTTGTGGATATTATTTCATGCTTGGATTTCGAAAGCACTATTTTAATTTCAAGTAATTGATTGAATCCAAAGGAAAAAAGCGGCTGAACCTTTGATGATAACTAATGCTTCGTAATGTTGCATAATATCAAAATCATTAAATTCTTTACAGACGGTTTTAGTTGTGAATTTTCAAAAAACTGAAATGTTAATCATTCGGGGTATAGTAAGGGATAGAATGAAACTGTAGATTGATCGCTAAATTTTATATTACAAATTAGAACTAAAAATATTAATCTAATTGGAGCGCATCGGATGGATTGTTTTTGCCTTTAAAAAATTCCATCTCTGGCGTCAAAATCAGTGCCTCAATTCAAGTATATTTCCGACAAACTCCATTGTTTCCGGTGAATTCTATTGCAAATCTCTTTTAACAAAGGGAAAGGGAAAAAAGTAATTAGCAGTAGTGAATACTAGTGAACAAAAAATGTAACTCAAAAATATGCAAAGATTTGTACATAAAATCGAACTTTTTTAAAACCATATATAGTCTTCAAGAGCATTACTCTCACGGGAATGTTTACGAATGTTATCGTAGTGGGAAAAGTTTCGATTCATTTGGAAATGATATTCGTTGTACTCTTTCCATTACTGATCACCGATAATTAAGCATTTCTAAGCTTAAGCATTTTATAAGCACTAAACTACATTAAGTTCATGCACTAAAGTAGAGATTGTAAGTCCATGCACTAAAATTAGAGATCATAAGTTCATGCACTAAGTTCATACATTTAAATGAGGGATCATATCTTTTGGCTTGTCTCGTTTTTAAATATTTTTATTGGTAGCATATACACAACTTTTCTTTTAAAAAACGCGAAGAAACAAATTACAGGAAACTGAATGAAATAAAAAGATACGAAAGAATATTAAAGCACTCTTTGAGGCAAAAAATAAAACTTTGAAATCTAAAAGATGCTAAAATTTGAGGAAGAGCGATGTTAAGTAATATATGAGTTAAATTAATGAATGAATTTGAAAAAGACAAATTCTTGGTGAAATGAAATGCTTTGTACAACATAGCACCCCATGGAAGCAAGAAATAGAAGAAATCAGTATCAGCATGAGTCACCCTGATAATTGACCTATAATCCGGATTGATATTCGGCATTTTTACAAATGTGATATGAACATAAATTTTCATAATTCATGACATGATATATAGGAAGGATTTTTTTTCTAATAAATTATTTTATGATTTATATAAAGTTGTAAAACACGTAACAATTCATGAAATTCGCAGAACACAAGAGACTTCATCGGAAAAAGACGGCTATAAATGAGATTAAAACAAAATTTGTATTAATTTGCCAAAATCTGCTATAGCCTATATTAATAATTCATACAAAATGATAATTGCCTATCGAACTGATAAATGTCTTTGAAATTGAATATGCAAATTATGCACAATTTAAAAAGACTTAAGGGAGTAAATGGAACCAAGAAAATGGTCAAATTTGGAACTTTAGAGTTGAAGAATCATTATTTATCTCACTCCACCATATCTGATTGAGATGGTACTCGTATAAAGCTAGCACTAGCACTAAGCCCCAATGGAGCAATCGTTGAGGCTCGATTCTTTGACCGAAGTTTTGCTAAAGAATTTTCTGCGATATCTGCTCGT